TTTTTTTAACGATCTTTGCCGTACCTACATAAGTCTCGTGTCGTAGACGATTTGTTCATTCGTCCGTCGAATGATCAATAATCTATTCAGCAGCGACATCGCCTCTGTTCTTTTTCTTTTCATTTTCAAACGATTAGAATTTCTTTCTTATTGTACTTGCCCCTCGAAATTGAACTATTATAGAGATCGAACGATCGAACGTCGAGAATGTGGGCGAACATTCATGTGATCAGCGTTCTGTATGTGATTGGAACTAGTGCAACTTTTTTTAATAATATAGGTAAGTGAAGAATCAGCAATATTCATATTTTTCATTTTATTCAGGAAATTGGTATTTTCAATTGTATTAAAATTGCAATTCAAATACTACAGTTTTCTTATACTATTAGATAAGAAGCAAATAAATAAAATTGCCTACACATAGTATACGTGAGGTTTATTTCAGATATATGAGTATACTACAGATTCTACGATATTTGTATAGCCAAGCAAGAAACTTTATGCATTTTTTGCACAAAATAATTCAACCTGTCCCTCAAAAATTGAACTACTTTTATAGATTGGATTTTAAAGCAGCCGCGAAACAGTGTAGAAGTGTCTCGGAAGTATGGAGAACACATTAAATGCCTGGAATCAGGCATTTTCGCGGACACCAAAAACTGCAAGCGATTTTATAGATGCAACACCCTGCTCGGCGTGCATCCTGCAAACGTTTTTGATTGTCTCGATGACCATGTATACTCGATTAACCAGAAAAAGTGTATATATCTAGAAAACAGTGACAGACCAGAATGTTCCGCACAAACGCAATCACGACCTGTACCGCAGCCGCAGCCGCAGCAACCAGAACTTATATCACAGCCGTGGCTACAACCACAACCGCAGCCGCAGTCGCAGTTTAGTAAAGGTACAGCAACCTTCGAAATTTGTTAATTAATAACAAGTATATACCACATTTTCATGGAACCGCCAAATTATAAATTTTAATTCGAAAGACGCGATAATAATATATTTTGCTACTTATTGTACTACATTATAATATTAAATATATTAATATTAAATGTACTATAATATTATATTATACTATATTATTAAATATTATTAATATTATTAAATTATTAATATTATTAATATATAATATTATACTATTTTTAATTATACTTACTTAATATAATACTATTAATATTATACTATTACACTTATAGTATAATATTATACTATATACTATAATATTATAATATTTAATTACACTATATACTATACTAGTACTTAATTATACTATATACTATAATATTATACTATTATACTATAATATTATACTATTTATAATATTAAATATATTAATATATAATATTATTTAATATTATACTATATTATTAAATATTGTTAATATTATTAAATATATTACTACTACTACTACTAAATAAGAATCGAAACGATGAACACCATTTTTGTCGAACTATCTAGAAATCGTGCAATTTCTTTCAAACAAATTTGCCTCTTTAAATTATTTAAAAAAAAAAAAAAATCTTCATGGATCATCGATTTGACAGAGAAACACGGAGATAAAATGGATTTTTAATCATTTATATTGCAGATTTTGGAGACTATTACATGAAAAATCTGCTAGACGTGACACAGACGATACTGACTATAAATTCAGGCAGCGATACTACGGATTCACATGGAATCGAGTCAACGGATTCAGACAACGATAGTGAAATTGACTTGATGGATTCAGACGATGATAGTGACACTAACGATTCCTGTGAAACCGATTCAACGAATTCAGATGACGATACTGATACTATGGATTCATACGGAATCGAGTCGACGGATTCAGACAACGATAGTGACACTACGGATTCATACGAAAATGAAGAGAAAGATCACAACAGTTTTACCTATGTTACTGTCCGAGAAAACGAGGATACTACATTGTCAGTTTCCACCACGACTATTGAGGACAGTATTGAGGAACAGACTTGTGTCAGAGAAGGTTTCTTCCCTGATCTTGAGAATTGTTCAAAATTTTATAGATGCGTGGTAGTTGGATCCATTTTGGTCAAGTATCAATTCTCCTGCCCCGTTGGAACATTTTGGGACAATTGGAAGGAAACTTGTAATTTCCCAAGGCAAATACAAAACCTGGACATGTGCAAACGCGAGAAGCAGCCCGAGATAGCAGTACCTGTTCAATTTTTAATGCCTAAAATCGAAGACAATCCTATAATTGGCAATCTAAGCGAAGATAAGTTTACTATCGTTTGTCCAACTGGTTTTCGGCGACACTCGAAATATTGCAATCTGTTTTATCAGTGTGTTGTCAACAATAACATGCAGGGGAGTTTTATACTGTTCGGGTGTTCGAAGGGCGCCATCTTTGACGAGAAGAGATTGCTGTGCGCCGACGTGACACACAATTGCGCGAAATTTGAATTTGACAAACAGTCTAGTTCGATTATAATCGTAAGCACATCTATATTTTTCTCTTTTTTCTTTCGTATGAAATACGAAATCACGGTGTGTGAATTCACGGAAATATCTGAATGCTCAGCAAAACAGAAAATACATCTTTTTCAAATTAATACTGTAGTAGATGTGACCATTACAGACGAGCAGACGAGCGAAAACATTAATATTGTAAAAATATTAATTTATATGAAGCAGTTTATAATTTTATTAAATGTCACGGTGAAGCAGTATTATTTTACATAAATCAATTCAAACGAGCGATTTGCAATAATTTTTGGATCAATAATCTTTAAATATGAAGGCGAACGTAAAATTTCACTACAAGTTTACACAAACTACTCGTCTACACTACCGGGCTTATTGGTTATATTAAAATAAATTTGAAAATAATAGTTTTCTACTACAGTGTTCAAACGTTCGAATATTTTTACGAGCTGTTACAAATGTATTTCATTTACTTACCATTTTTCTCGTTTTTTGCAGCTTCACCATTCGAATGAGGTACTATGTCCGAGGGAGGGTCAGTTCCCATACAACAAAATTTGTTCCAGCAAATATTTCAAATGTATACGCAACGAACACGGGATTCTCGAGGGATATTTAGTAGATTGCCCGGCTGGGAATGTGTACTCATCACTTTCGAATTATTGCGTACCTCCGACATTATTCCCATATTGCACCAATTACTATCAGATCTAACCACTCGATCTTAACTATTTTTTAACTTTACACTCGTTCGTTATTGTTGACGTTTGTTGGGATACGTTGCAGTTTACGAATATCTGCGTTTCGACGTCGATTCGATAATAACTTATTTTTTAATTTTTGAAAGGTACATTTTCTTGAAAACATGCGAAAATTACGGATATACGAATTGCAACGATGTACTCGACAAGGCTCGATATATCGATACATTTCCAGATTACTTTTCATATTTTTACGTTCGATACATTCGCAATCGAGATATCGACATACTTGCAAATCTATATGAATGTTACATGATTTCACGATAGGTAGTTGAGCATGTACCACGACGTCAATATGTTTTATAAGTTTCATAAGTAATTTATAATTTTGTGAATTAAAATACAATGTACACGTTACCATAAAACTTACTGAGATCAATATAACAAGTAATGTCTTTTGATTGATATCTAATTCTATTATCACAAAACATAACCTATAACTTGTTACTGGAGGATAAGGTTTAGGTTTACAAAGATTAAGTACAAAACGATTAATAGTAGTCGTTTTTGAATTCTGTTTGAAAAAAACTTTTTCAAGAAGCACTAGGCTAACGATGTACGTGGTGCAATGTTCTGGATTGTTAACGAAGCAATTGAGTTCAAATTGTATCCGAGGTGGAACTAGGTTAGCATCTTCTTTCGGTCAGCACGAGAATTGTGGAAGATTCCACGAATACCGGAATAGGGTAGCATTGTGGTTGAAACAACAGAGCGGACAGGTAGTCAAAGCTTGTACCAGACAGTTCGAATTTATCGCTGCGCAACGTATTAGGAGAAGCTTGCAGATATTTCATTTGTACACACGGATATGGGACGAAGTAGCGCTCAAGGAATTTATGAAAAATTGGAAACATCGTGCAGTGAGAAATGCTAGACACTTTCTAACAGGTAGCATCGGCATAACAGTGTACAACTGGGATCGTGAAAGAATAAGCGAAGAAGAACTCAATAGGTAAAGTGAATGGTTTTTTGCAAACTGAAGAGGCAACTCCAATAAGGTACAGGTTGCATATTCAAAAGTGCAAAAGTTTACTGCTAATTCGAAATTAAGGATTTTTCACACCAAATTAACCTTTTTGCAGATCATGTTCATTTTTTTGCATTATAGATTAATCCCTTTTGCAGATCATGTTCTATCAATCAAATTTATCTTGTGGATAATTCAAAGGTGAAATAATACAATGTCATTTTGTTATTTGTGATTTAATTTGTAATTAGTTGTGAAAGTTGTAGTTAATATGCGAAAGTTGTAATATATGTGAAAGATTAATACGTGAAAGGTGACCAATATAAGCTTCCACAAAATTCAGAAATCTTATTGGTCAGACAAAGCACATTTTATTATTTTTATCACTATACTTTCCAATGATAAACCCCACTGAAAAAGTTTTTTAAAGAAATATTTTGGCTGACCTCTCAAATCATGAACATTTAGTGGGTATTATTAATCATTCTGTTGTAACTATAGATTATCATAATTATTATATAAATGTATATATAAAACTATCTTATACAACAATAGACAAACTATTATTGATGAATCTATATATGTGTATAAAAGTATTTTTAATGTTAAGTATTTTGTTATTTTTTGTGTAAGTATTATTACATATATACAATAAAATTTTTATTTCAGAATAATAACTTTACATCGGATTTTATTTATATTACAATAATTTAAGAAAACTTGATTTGCAAAAGAGTGAATTTAATATGTGAATATGAATTTGGGTGAATATGATCTACAACAGGATTAATTTATAGTACAAAAAGATGATATGCAAAAAAGTTAATTTGGAATGTAAAATCTATATAAATAGTAGTTGGCCATGAATCTATAACATGTTTGAAGAATTGATTTGATTTTGAATAATGTTGAATTGATTTTTTATTGATTTAGTCAAGTTATTGAAAAATGGAGCTGTCTCCTTAGTGCTGCAGTTCTTTCAATTTCTTTGTCATTTAATTTACTTTAAAAGTAAATAACATCAGCTTTTTCAAGAACTAGAGTTAGTCTAATTAAAATTGAGTTTTCATTATTATTTGTTTTTCATTATTAACTTATTAACTATTATAAAAGGTAATTTGAGAAAAGCAGTCTCGTAAATCTATCAAAATGTATCATTAACATTGACTATTTTGCTTTTTATGCTTGTTAGTTGTAAAAGGGATATTGAAGAAATTCACAGGCTAAAAGATATCACGCTTATTTGTCCAAAATGTCATCTAAGAGTTATGATAGATACTCAACAACCAAATATAAATTATTGCACATGTAATGATGGTAAATTTAGCGCTACTTCTAATCAAGATCGTACGTAATTATTTTTTTTTCTGAACATCACTGCTAAACAAATATATTGATAATTGGTATGTGACGTTTTTGGTTTTAGCTGAAGGATGGAGACCATATATAGAAAGGCAAGATATGCTCATTTGGAGAAAAGAAGAATCAAATTCTGGAGGATTATTTGCATATAAAGTCTATGGTACATTTTCGGATGTTACAGCGGAAGATTTTTTACAAACTCAAATAGATCTGGATTACCGGAAAAAATGGGATTCAACTGCTCAAGAATTAAAAATCATAGATACTGATCCGGAATCGAAAGAATCTGCTGATAATGGTATTGATGTTGTATATTGGGAAACGATATGGCCGGTATGCGGTAACTCACGTAAAGCTAGCTATTTGTAATATAAATCACTTAATCTTATTGTTTAAATTTTAATATTCTGTAATGTCTGATTTCAGAGATTGTTCACAAATAGGGATTATGTATATCAACGCCGATGGATCATGGACAAAGAAAAGCGGTTAATTGTAATTATAAGTAAAGTAACGGAACATCCTAATGCCCCTACCAAACCAGGAATATACAGGTATCGTGAATATTTTAGAGCATTTTTCTTCTTTAATTTTTACAACGTAAATAAACACACACATAAAACACATGTATATGATACTGTTAAGTTACTAGATCAGTATGTTTTAGTTTTAAATATAAAAGTAGTAGAAGAATTTTTATTGTTAAATAATTTGAACTGTGTATACAACAGAGTCACAACGTATTGGTCCTATATGGTGATAAAGCCTTATACAGATCTCCACCAACCAGGCATAGAATTCGGATTAACTTATTTTGATGATCCTGGTGTAAATATTCCTTCTGCGATTACTTCGTGGGTCGCAATGTCAGGTATGTCTTGTTCATATTCAAAAAGAAATTTAAAAAAATAAATAAATAGAAAAGAAAAGTTTCTTTCAATTTATCTCTGTATTTATAAATTCTAGGGTTGCCAGACTTTTTAATTCGGATGAGGCATGCGTCGAAAAATTATCAAAGTTATAAACTCACAAAGCGAAAGGAAAATGTTTCTGATGCTAGTCATATTTCTTCGAGCGAAGAGATTGTATCCGAGTATAACGTAGAAAACAATAAAGAAAGTGAAACACTGAGTCAAAGTGATGCAGTAGAATGTGATCTTGATGAAGAAGTTGAAATACTAACATCAGAAACGGAAGAGAGCGATGAAGATATAGAAGATTCAATCAACGAAGGCAGGGGTTTATTACGTTATTTCTTTTTTACAAAATTATTTGTTTGACCAATAATTTCAATAATTTCAATAATTTGAAATAATGAAATTGGTTTTGGCTAATAGAAAGTCTTTAACATGACGTTGTGCAAGCAGAATGATAGTGTAATGACCGCGATCGCGATACAAAGATACAGGTACGAATAAGTGGATACATTGGATCACCGTTGCATTGATGATGCACCAAAATGTGCATGAAATATACACTTTTTCTCAAGTGAGAAGAATTTTGAAAAATACCCATATTGTTTTTATGGTATTCTTTATGATGTTATGAACACGAGACTGATTATATTTATAATTAGTTTCATTTACACTATTTATTACATAGTACAAAAGAGAAATGTGGAAAGAAGAAAGTGTTCACTTGCAATATATTGTAAAGTAAATTATAATTTGTACAAGATCTTTTTATTCACATCTGTAATTTTACATAGCTAAAATATCATATTGTATCTGTACACTCAGAATAGTGCAAATATAAATAGCTACATAAAATATGAAAAATTAAGTTTTTTATACGTACATATATTCGAATTTTTTCTTTTATATTATATGTACGCCTATATACATGGAATTAATTTACATTGGCTTATATAAACTGTAAATAATCTGTGTAATGTAGTATTCATTTTAATATAATTAATAATATATACATTTGCAATATTGGATGTAACATTGCACAATTATTTGGCACTTGTAAGAACCTGAAAGCATGTAACTGTTATTTTGACATTATGCATTTTGTTTCAATTTCAGGAGAAAATATCGTGGAAACAAAGCTAAGTATTATTTATCTGTGAAATTGTTCATAAGCCTTGTTCTCACCTCAATGTTACCTTTATCTAACAATATTGTCTTCCAGGTATTTCTACCTCAATAAATTTTTGGTAAGACTATTTTTCTACACTGTTCTGTGTTATAGCATTATTCAATAACATATCACCTTCCTCATCGATTTGAAAATAAATTTCTTCTGGTAATTGTTTTGATTTGGATTTAAAACCAAAACAGTCTTGATCATGACATTTTTGATATATTATTTTGTTTTTTAAGTTTACAATCCAAAAAACATTGTTACTTTTATGGCATCTACCAATATTTTCACAATATCTATTAGTAAGAAAATAAATATTTTTTATTTCTTTATTATTGTATATAAGATAATTCTAAAATTGTGATCAATTGGGAAGGATTATAACCATTTATTATTATAAATGTCACTCAAAACTTGGTATTATTTTACACAATGAAATAAGTTTTACGAATTTATACGAATTTATACGAATGATTTACAAAATTCAAAAAATATTCTTGATACCTATAAACTTACATCTGTATATAAATTCTTGTATAGCAAATTACAAAAGCATCAATTGATGATAGTTCATGTGTCTAAATTCTTATTCAATTAGGTAATGACAATTTATTTTTAACACAAGCTATTTTTATGACGATACGATGTATATAAAAGTAATAAAAAAATCAGTAATACTTATCAAGTTTAATTAAATCGTTGAATAACAATTTATTTGCATCATCAAAGATGATTTTCAACACTTTGTAAGTAACTAAAGTAATTATATTATTGATTAAACTACTGTGAATTTATTGTTGCATGACAGAATTACACAAAATTATAATGTGTTTATAAATATAAGCAGGAATATCCATAGGTAATCAGATTTCTAAGTTTAAATCTATTTTAAAAAATAAATAATACTTTTATATAAAGAATTATAAATACCTGTATCCCACAGTTTCGTAAACCAATATTTTTGCAGTCTCAAAATGTTTGCATGTGCGTATTTTTCCAGGAGATATTAAATTGCTAATATATCTATCCAACATTGGATATTTTGAACATGGATTATCACTTTCTTGATAATTGTATTGTTGTACTATATCCTTGAAACAATTTGTATTTACCGTATCATTTTCAGAATACTCTAATAAAATCAAGTTCTTCTTCATAACAAAATATGATATCAAGGAATCTAAAAATATGCTTAACTCTTTGTCATTGTATACAGTGGATGGAATATATTTAGAGTCATTTGAGATCTCCAAATTTGATTGTTTTCCCCATTTAGTGGATTTATATATCCTAAAATGTCTATTCTTCGAATAAACTGCAGTATCAACAAACAGTCTTTTTCCTTTTTTTGTTTCAACAATCAGTTGTTCTACTTGTGTTTTGTCAAAGCAGCTTAAAATATTGTGTTGTTTTTCCTTGGATGTAACATAATTCAAAATATCTGTACACACAGATTTTACAAGTCTCCCAGCGTGATAATTATCTTTGAAGACTACGTCTCTGGTATTAAATATAATGTGTCTACTAAATTTTTCGCTAGTACTTGAATCTAAATTAACTACGTTGTATTTATTGCATATTACGTGCCAGTGTACGAGTAAATACATACAGAAAATGTCAATTAAAGTATTCGTCATAGACGTTCCGTCATGTCCCAAGTTCAGTTCGATTGAATACTCTAAATCTAGATACAATCGACAAGGATGATTTTCTGGAATTACCTAAGTTTAAATATGAATTTATTATCTCGTCTTCACGCACACGTATATTTGAAATATTTACAAACACAGTAAAACATTATCGGAAACGTACCTCGTAAGAACACCTTCTTTCTGGCGGTAAATGCTTATAATGCCACCAAAAGGTTTCAGGATGAATTACCACGAATTTGCGATAACCATTGTCTATCTGATAAACGAAAGTGCAAAGCATATCATAATCGTTACTCTCTTTCGAAGCTGTATTAAGCGCATTCATTTGTTTGTCAAAGTTCATCCAAAGTTCGCGCGGCCCTAAAATGCTTAATGGCATTTTTTGATGTTCTTTCGCCCATGTTTTTGATACTTCTTTCTCGCTATCTGCGTTCTGTTTCTCCACCTTTTCAATTATTTTGGTGTCGTAAAATTTCTGAAAGTTGATTTCACTCATGCTTAATGGCGAGACAAAATTTTAGACAAACGTAAACAAAAATCTAGATGCGTAACAAGAAATATGCTCCTTCGCGCCAAAATGTAACCATGAACTAACTAACTCAAATGAGACGTATAACTATATGCAATTTTTTGAACCGAAAGGTTTGAACGCATGTTTCCATCTGTTATCAATGGGAGATAAATAAATTGCAAAATATTCTTAACGAGAATATTGTTTCGAAACACCTCAAATAATGATAAAATACACAAATAATTGTTTATATGTAATTTTCTACAGTTGTTATATGTAAGATTGTCCTGTAATACTATTCGGAAAGATCGCAGCGTACGTTACGTTCATAGAAACTGCACTTTAAATGTTTGAAATACAAATTGGCTACTAACGACTATTCTAGTTGCAGAATAGCAATATCTATCAAAAATTGAATTGTTTCAAACGTAATTCGTATGTTAATACACCCTAAGGTATTGTGACTAAGGTATTGTCTTTCTTTCAATATATTCGCTGTTCTTGCAATCGTTAATGTAGAAAAAAAAAAAAAAAGAAAAGGTAACGAATGAGAAACAATCGTCTTAAAATTTAGCATTCTTTCAGTGCAACACTGAAATTTATTCTATTTTCACTTTTGCAGCATCTTGTGAAAGGCAGATGAAAGATATTAAGAATAATAAAATTCAATCGGTTTTCCATTGAAACAAAAACATAATTGAGACATAATTGTCTAGATCGATATTATCAAGACGGTGAATTGTTCTCCATGTCACGATACAGGACA